CTATAGGACAAGAACATTATCTTCTTGGGACAAATGGTGCAGGTGTGTCCCATTCATGGATTAGATATTAAAGTCAGCATGCAGAAGTAAATGCAAAGCAGTTAGCAAATATAGATATATGGAGGATCTATCTATCTATCTATCTATCTATCTATCTATCTATCTATCTATCATCTATCTACCATCTATCTATCTATCTTAATCTTTTAGGAAATGTGTTTCAGTCTAGTGCCTGTTCCCTACTCTCTCCCCCTCCTTTAAGGCATAAACCAATGGCCTTATCAGTGCTAGGCAGGTTCTACACAGCCGAGTTATATCCCAGCAGGAGTTGGCTCTCGGAGTGTCCAGTGTTATAGTTTTGTTCCTGCTCACAGCTTCGGAGTGGTTGTTTGTTTCTTTGGTCTACCATGAGCTGAAGGACTTGACTTGCAGTTAGGGGTGAAATGTAAGACACACAACGGTATCTTCAAATTTTCCTGTAACACCGCAGGCAGCCAGAGGGCGGTTCTTCAAGAGAGCCAGAAAGAACTACCCTACACAGCTAGAACCGCATCCCTTTTCTTAGGCTCAGGTGAACTGTCCACAGCTTTCAGGAGCTCCTTCTCTAGGTAAGACGTTTTCACGTTTGTTTTGATGCTAAGTAGGTGGAGCAGAAGTGTGAGCATGTTAGCTGCATCCCCAGTGTGATTCCTCACAGACAGTCTTTGTCAAGACCTAGTTAAAGGAGGGGTTACCTTTCTAGTCAAACTTAAGTGTTTTATAATTAAACAATACAAAGGAAAACCAAACAGAAAAAAAAAAATCTGGGCATGGCGGGGCATATCTGTAATCCTGGTACTGGAGAGCCTAAGGCAGGGGGAGAGTCAAAAATTGAGGTCAGCCTGGGCTACCAAGTAAAACTGTCCCTCCCCAAACATAAACCAAAACAAAGCTAACACAGTTCCTCCCTGAAATCTTTCTTGGGAAGCCAAAACTTCAACACCCATTGGCCCCAAAGATCAAGTGGGAGGTTACTATATTCTGGTGACTGCAGAAATCAGAGTAGAGTTGTTCAGACCCGAACACCCTCTAGCATCACCCCACTTGGTAGAAAGTTCTGTTCCCACAACCCCTAGAGCATGCATTGTTCTTCCAGTTCTGGCTCTAAGTGTGTGCAGTCATAAATCTTTACTTCATGTTAGACCACACATTTCCAGTTAAGTCACACATTTCTCAAGGGCGGATGGTGTTTGTCTTTTATCTCTTTATATAATACACACTGTCTAATGTAGGATCCTCTTATGGAATATTGGAAGTGATTCTCTTACATGAGAGAAGAACCATGGGTTTGAGTTAAATATTCAGACATACTTTAAAAGAACAACCAACAGAAAAGGCCAGTATTTGCTCCTTCAATTTGGGAGATTGAATTAAAAAATTATGTATTTAATTTGAAGGAAGTTAAGGGAATTCTCAAGATACCTCCTAGAGTAAAGATGATGCTAGGTATTTTAAACAAGACTTTGAAGGAACCTCAGTAACTCCTTCCAACTCCTTCCAGTGGAAGATCTTAGGTCATATAGGATTCCTTCTTCGTGTGAGGACATAAAGGTCCATGGTAAACAAATTGTTAATTGGAATATTAACAGATCACATCACTCCGTGAAGTTACTCATTAAAATTTTGTTTTCAGCAGGACCTCATTATTTTGTGTCTCTCTTCCTGGGTAAGCATTTTATTACAACAGTAAATGTCATTTAATACTGTGTTATTTTTATTACATTAGCAGAAAATCCCTGTTTTCTAGTAGTATAATAGTTTTAATAATTTAATAATTTAATTTAACATTAAAAAATTCCCAAGTAGGGGCTAGGGAAATGGCTCAGTGGGTAAAGTATTTGTTGTGCAAGCCAGCCTCCAGCCTTTACATGTGTTCCTGCATATATGCACATTTACATGTACACATACCATATACACAGATATATGCACGGAAAAATCTCAAAGGATGTTTTTCAAGCCCCATTCTGAATATTGCCCAACATTACTAGTTTGGGTTGGATTTTTGGTGATATTTGTGTTTTGCCGTGTTTCTCATTTCCTTGAAAAATAGCCCAGGCTGGCCTCAGATTTGAACCCCTCTTACTGCTTCTACCTCTCTAGGGCTGGGATATGGGTGTGTGTCCCCAGGCCTGCTGTGGGCTAATTTTTAAATAAGACTTCAATGCAATTGTATGAAAAACATTTTGATGAATTAAAAGTCATGAAGATCAGCATGTTTTACATTATTTCTTGATAAAAATATGATTAATGTAGAAATTGGTGTCATTATGGTAAACTGTGCTTGCATCCGTCAGAAATATTTTATTCCAGCCCCCTTTGGCTTACCAAACGTCATCGCCAGTGCCTGGTCCCACAGTGGGTAAGAGAAGACAGTTGATTTGAAGTGCTTACCTAAAATCATTTCTCAAGCCCCAGGACACTGGCCCCTGGTCCTGACGGCAGACCGACCGTCTCCTCCTTGGCTCAGGACAGCTGTTGAGGTAAGCTTTGATCATTTGCTTCTGATATCTTAAAATTAAGAGCATCTATGTGCTGTGGCCTGGGAAACGGGGTGGAGAGAGAAGGAAGGAAGGAGAGACACGGACAGACAGAGGTACAGTTATTAGCCAATGTTTGCACTCGGTCTAGCTCCCGAAAGCTTGGAAGGCCTCAGAGGTCTCAAACCCGCACACCATGCCCAAGGCCTGTGGCTTGCTCTTTCCCAGGGCCTATTATTTAGAGACTGTGTGTATTACCCTATCAGACAGTGGTGCCTCCTTCCCAGGCTTGCTCACCTGGCCACTGTCTCCTTCTGGGCCCTGGAAGGGTGTATCAAAGCAACAGAGCAAGGCAGAGGCTATTTTTTTCTCTTGTTCTCTAGGTTGGTATTGTTTCAGCATCGTAGACACACCCGTTTTAATTAATTATAAAGTGTGTTTTGCAAGGCAGTTTTCTGCTTTATACAGGATACTTTTTTTTCTTTTTAAAGGGGAAATCATTGTGAAATTGCATGGTGATTAAGACACAAGCAGCTGGAGGCGGTCTTGGAGCAGTGTGCGCTCGGGTGCGTTGTCTCATGAAGACTGTGAATTGATTGCAAGGTCTCATGGAAAGCCGTTTGGGCCTCTGCCCTTAGCTTCTTTTCAGGATACAAGGCACCATGTCCTGGCCTTACTGAACATCTTGGCCTCACAGTGAATAACTAGAACTCTAATGACGATGAGTCTCTCCCAGGATCTCAGGCTTTCAAAGGTGTGCATTATTTTAAAAGTGTGCACTATTTAAAGTTTGAAGCCAGGTCCTCTTTTTTTTTCTTTTATCTTTTTTTTAAATAAGGAAGGACAACATTTTTAGGAAGGCAAATTTCCTTTCACTACAGTGCATTTTGGATGAAGAGGCAGGAGTTGGGATGAGAGGTTAAAGCGAGGATGTGGCTTGCCCCGTGATGCCAGGGGCAGAGCTGACACTGGGAAGTCCATTGAGCAGCAATCCAATCTGCCCATCAGAACTCACGGCCAACAGACTGATTCAGCAACTGGGCACGTCTGAAGAAGAGCTGCTTCATCCCGGACCTAAGACCACCCACCTGTAAGATGCTCTTCTTGACATACAAACTCCCGGGCTTCACCAGATCCCCAGATACAGTTTCCTAGAGGCGAGGCTAGACATCCTGGGTGACTAAGCATGTCAAAATTTAAAGCCACCTGGATCTTTTTTACTCACTGGAGGATCTAAGAGTCTAAGCAGCAATTGGCACAGCTCAACAAACACCTGTTGAATGAATGACAGCCCTAAGTGGTTGGAGCCTTTAGAGGCTCTAATTACTGATCTCTGTTAGAGCATCTAATTTAGCATGCTGTCACAAAAACTGGTAAAATGTCCTATCCCCCAAGGACATTTCCAGGCTGGAATGGGGGAGAGGCAGCCCCAGCAAATTGTCTCACCTTAGTAGCTCTCTCTCTGCCTGGATTAAACTGCAAAAGTCAGGACAGAGCCAGTAGCAAACCTCACAGTTCTGCCCTCTTAAAAAGGGAAGGGAGGGATTTGTTAACTTAGGAGTTAGACCCTAAATTCAGCATGCGAGTTTGTCACTCTATTGGTAACGGAAGCTGGGGATGCTTCTACAAGCTTCCCAGTTTTATTTCAAGGATGAATAGTCAAATGATCCAAATCCTTCCCGAATCATTCAAACCCCGGGAGAGAACACAAAAGAAAATGCCTCACTGCCCAAAAGATATATTAAGCACCCCGTCTCTTCACTTGGCAGCCAGAGAACTTAAGGAAAGCCTGAGATGCTGAGGCAGGGTTGAGATTCTGAGGGCAGCTTGAACTACACAGCAACACCTGATGGGGGTGTTGAGGGGAAGGTGGAGAGGGGAGGGGTCCACCACATCCCGAAAGACAGTAGATAAAGACAAGTACCCGACTGTATACTCTATAGTATACAGAGAGTGGAATATTTACCGCTCAGTGACATGGGGGAAAGCAGGGGCAACAGTAGGAATGCATCTCAAACACATCATGTGAATCCCAAGAAGCCAACTCTAAATGCTGTGTGACTTCATCACTTACAGTATGACAGAAAATACAGAGCTACAGCGCTGCCTGACCAAAGTTAGAAGTTGGAGACAGATTTAAATATAAGGGAATTTGGGGGATGGCGCAATGAATCTGCATCCTGATGAAATTCCCTTATATTTAAATATATGCATGCATTCAACCTTGCAGAACTGTATGCTAAACAGTAAGGTCAATGCATGCAGAATGTCATTGTTTCATTTTTTATTAAAACAGAACCCAGACATCCACAATATAAGCTCATTAGGTCTCTGAGACATTTTCCTTGCCTTTATCAGCATGGGAAACACATGTGTAGGTGGTCTTAGAGTATGTGAGATAGAGGGGCCACTCTTAAGCACATGGTCTATGATAGTACATTACATCTAGGGCCAAATGCAGCGTGTAATAACCGAGACACTATCTTGTAGAAAATTCCTTTATTATAGTGCAAATAACTTTCAGCAGTGACATAATGTAACAACACATTGAACAACACTTGACACCACGCAGTAAATAAGAAAGTGTTTCTTTGAAAATACGTCATCCTGGGAACATCATCTTTACATTAATGCCAGGAAATGCCAAAGCTGCTTTCTCAAGGCAATAGGGCTCAATCCTGTTTTGGATATTTTCTCATAATGCACATGGATTTGTCGTTAAGTGCATCAACAATTCTAAGAGTGATCTCTTAGGGGGTTTTTAGAGAACTTGGCAAGACTTGAAACTGGGCTTCAAGATTTAAAAAAATATTAATTTTAAGACAATTCAGGAACAGCCCAGAAAGCAGAAGTCACTTCTATTAACTTGATAAATATTGACTCTAATTTTGCTGCAGATTGTCTAAAGCCTGCTTCTTATTTCCCCAGAGCCTGTTATCACTAGGTTTTGGTTATTGCAGAACTCGGGCTCTGGGTGGATAGAGCTCCCTGCGTATGCAAATACTTTCTCCATGGAACTTCAAACCACACTTTTCATCCTGAAATTCCCACCCTAGACCTCTGTCCTCGTTTCTACCTAGCCATTAGGACAGCGGGAGGTGTCCTCATTTATTTAGCTAGTCCACAATGACCCCAACATGCCACTTAGATAGACCCCAGGAGGCTGGTCAGAGGACCCCACTGCCCTGTCGGGTGATGGTTTAACACTGGATCGGCTGCTAACGAGGTAGCTGACAGGCAGAGAGAGGAGTCACTCCCCAAGCTTCTGCTGAATGATAGATGGCTGGCCACTCAGAAGAGCCCCCTGTGGGGAGGGGTGCTTACTGCAGGAGTTGAATCCAAACAAATAGATTTCAGGGTACTTTCTAGGTCTTTTGACAAACGCTCCTCACAAAAGTGGCTTGTCAAACCGTGAGAAATTGATCACAGGCTTAAAAAAATACCTGGAGCTACAAAAGAGCTCTCACGGCTGACTACGGCTTCCGCCGGGGGAATAAAAAGCTCCGGAAGATGCAGCTGCTCTCGGCCGACGAGTCTTTGTATATAACACCATGGAACTGCGCTAAACAGTTTCAAAGTTGAGAAGGATCCAAATATATCATCTATAAAAAATTCATTATTTTAGCTTGCTTTATTTATCTTAGACTTTGGTTCTGAAACACTGTCTACATTCTTGACACATGAAGATGACATGGCCACTTCAGTGCCTCTGCATGTTGTGTAAAAAAACCTTAAAAGCAAAGCAGGACAAGGGGACGCCCTAAGAAGATACAGACACTGTACAAACAAAACCTAAATTATATATAAACACACCCCCACCCAGCACCCCTTCTTCTCCCACTACAAGGCCAAAGCAATGCCAAGGGCCCTTCTCTCCAGGACCAATGCAGTGTGGGAAACACAATCCTACGATTCTAACCATCCCCACCCTTGCAGAGACATCAATAATCTGCAGTCTACCACTAGAGACAGCTTCGCTTTGATTCGTCCCGCAAACGCAGGGAAGCAGTTTCACCAGAAGCATGAACACTACGGGTGGACTCAAAGACCTGAAATCGTGAGACTTAGTCTCTCAGATAACCTAACTGGATCCCACCATTGTCCATCATCTCCTCAGAAGCTCCAAAGGCATTGCTTAGGGATACTGCGGAGGGTCTTAGAAGAAAAATTATACAATGAGCTAACAGCTAAGTTGATATAAATTATTTCCTAGTAAGTAATTTGGGGCAGTTTGCTTCTGCCTTACACTGTGTTCTGGAATCATTTTCATAGTATACTATTAAAAACTGATATAATAGTTATTTTTAAAGTTGTCTATGCAATCACCTCTTATATGCTTTCCATTATTTTAACAACTTAATGAGCTATTGTGTAAATCTAGGAAGTCATTAGCCTTAAGGAAGCCAAAACCGTGCTAATTCACAGGAAGGAGAAAAAGCAATGTAAACAGAAGTTCACATTGTCGACAAAAACTGGAGTTTTATCGAAATGCTGTAAATTTTCCCCAAAAGCACTTATAGCAATTTAAGCCAGAAAGCCAAAGTTGAGGGAGTGGAGAATATGCTCAAATTCTTTAAGGTGTAAATCTACTTGTTTATGCTTGGAATACATAATCTTCCCCCTCAGACCTAAGTCCATAATTTGGAGACATTGCTCGTTCTCTAGGACACGAATACATACACTGAATATAAATAAATAACGGAGGAAGCGTAAGGATCCAGGTTAACACGATGCTGTGCTAAAAAACAGAACAAACCCAAAACAACCCCCAAGAAAGCGTAAGAAACCAAACCTTGCACAATCTACATTCTATGTAAATACCCTGACTAAAATGTCGGTTGTGCTATGCAATCCCACTTTCGTGCAGAAATGCATCGATTTGATGTACCGTTGTTGTTTTTAAGGTCTTTAGCACTTTTGCTCCTAAATATCATCTTGTTCTGAAACGATGAATAATTGCTACCAAATCACAAATCATCACAAATCCATTTTAGTTTAGTCTGAATAAAAATCCAGCATAAATGTATTACTTTGTTCTGCGCACAATGGCTCGATGTCTTTCTTGCGAGCTTTCTTCCACTGGGCAAGCCACAGATGAAGTTGTCACTCTGGACTTACACTGCATGGAAAGAGACCGCGAAGTTTGCCTTTCGTTTTTGTTTTCTTTTTAAGTCTCCAGATTTTGCTAGGACACTTCTCTCAGACAGTCATGTAGTCGTGGCACCTGGTCGGATTTAAAATAGAAGCGCTCTAACATCAGCCAAGCTTGGTGATCTGGAGGTCCCCATTGATCTTTATGGTATCAATTGCAGATAATGTTTGAATACGATGGTAAAAATCAAAAAGTTGATGTCCATCCACAAATACTCTGAAACGTGGGTGCTCACAAAGAATCTCCACCTGGAAGAAACAAAATAATAATTTAATGCACAATTTTGGATGAATCCTGCTGGAGGGAAAAAAAAAAGAAAACCCAACACGAAACCCATACTTCATTGTGGAGAAAAAAAGGCACATCCCCAGTGAATCTCAAACATCACAAGATGCAGAAAGCAATACAGACTGCTGGGTTCAACTCCTCCAACTCTCAATTCAGGAAGTCCAGAGCACAGCTGAAAAACTGCATTCTCAACGGGGCCAAGGAAGGGATGAGGTGCTGGAGCGGGGAACCCACTCTGAGAACCACCGCTCTGTAGCAGAGGCTGCGACAGCGCCTTGTGCACTTCGTGCAGAAGTATAAAGGGGCACAGATCTGTTTATGCAACACTTGGTGCCTTCATGTCACTCGCTGAACAGTCCCACGTACAGGGGAGCCTCTCCTGATGCATGACTGGTAGCCATTAGCAGCATCTAATAATAGCCTAGACAAACATGGTAAACACTAAGGCAGAGGGAGGGCTGCACAGTAATTACCACTAGACCAAGAATGTGTAATTAACAAGGTTTTGTTAAGCCAAACAAACATGATTCCACACAGTAAAACCTTTTCTACAATTCATCATAGAGGTTTCTCTCTCTCTCTCTCTCTCTCTCTCTCTCTCTCTCTCTCTCTCTCTTCTTAGAGACAAGAGTTTTTTTTTGTATAGCCCTGGCTGTCGTGGAACTTGCTCTGTAGTCCACGCTGACCTGCCTCTGTCTCCGTGCTGGGATTAAAGGTGTGTGCTACCACCACCACCTGGCCACCATAGAATGTAATAATTGGCTGTGCTATGACACTTTTAGAAACGCACTGGCAATCACTATGCAGGAAACTCCATATGCGGTAGTAGTCACATTTAATTCATATTACTGTTCAAATTATATCACCAAGAAGTTCCTTTTGTTGTTGGGAAGCACTGTATTCCTCCTAGTGAAAAGCTTATAATCACAAATTATGTGTGAAGATTTACCGTCTGAGACAGCTCAGTTGGTGAAGCACTTTGGCTTGCAAGTAAGAGGACCCACATTTAATTCTCTTCTCCCCCAAACTCCCCTTGAAATGTCAGATCCTCAATGTGCCTGTTGTACCCATTGTAGAGATGGTGGGGGGGATACTTGGTTCACTGGCCAGCTGGTTTAGCCCAATTAATGAGATCCAGGCCAGTGAGAGACCCTGTCTCAAAGGAGGTGAATGACGGTGTTCCTAAGGATGATACTTGGATTGCCCTTCAGCCTTCTAGCACACACATGACCACACACACACACACACACATACATACACACACCCCTTACCATTTAAGAACTGCATAACAAGAGGAGCCCATGAGGGCTTACCGTTCTAAAGGAGGATCTGCAGTAAAGGGTAACTTCTTAGGTTATGATTACAAGGGGACAACCTCATTTCTATCATCGATGTAAAAAAGTTATGGATTTTTATTTTGCCATAGACCATAAAGAAAGAGAAATAAGCACACAAGGCCTTGAGAAGCTCCACACGAAGAACAACATACCAAGAGCTGTTTTGCTTGTTCTGGCTTATATGCAGCTTGGAGCCTTTGACCAAGGTGCCACTGTTGTGAAGTAGGGTAAGAAGGTCTATGTAGACAAGGGCCTCATCACCAGGCCTGACGTGTCAGCAAGTCCTTTTTTATATTACTGAGCTGAACCTCTTATTTGGCAGTGTTCTGCAGAGGAATGTATTGCTACTGCTGACTGATGAGATAGCAAGCTTGGGCTGTGTTTCCTCTGTTAGACAGAGGGAGCAAACCTCTATTATCCAAGCCCAAGGGAAGAAATTTGCCAGCCACACAGTTTGTGACCATGAAACAGACAGGCTTAATTAACCCATAGGGGAAAATAAATACACAAATATGGACTCATTAGCAAAGGGAATGAGAGAAAATGAAATAATAATCACTAAATTGTTTTAAACCCATAACTAATACGGTTTTGAGCTACTCAAAGGCTCAGAAACAGGAAAATTCTGGATACTTATTAATATTTAATAATGAATCAGACATTTGGCGGTGGGTTATCACTCCGTGCCTAACACCATGTTGGGAATCACACAGATTATTTACTAACTACTCCCAGCTTGGCCTGACGATACAGGTCTGTAATCCCAGCTACTCTGCAAATTGAGCTGGGAGGATTACAAATACAAGGCCACCCTGGGCAATTTAGTGAGATCTTGTTTCAAAATAGAAATAAAGAAGAGGGCTGGGGTTGTAGCTGAACTGTAGACCTTACCTAATGTGCACAAAGGCCTTGGGCTCCAGCCCTAGAACCGCCCCAAAAGTAAACAAATAAATAATTAATACCTCCATGCTGGCTAAGGAGAATTGTGGTTAAGCATTTAACAGTTAGGTATGCACAGGCTTAACTAGACACAGGCTAACCAGAATCCAGCGCCCCTGTGGCAAGTATTGACCACTATCCGCGAGCAGATCTCTTCTGTGTTTTTATCCTTTTCCCACAGCAGGGTGACAAGGTTCTTGGACCAGGAAGAAATTCTTAAAGAGTTCTTGGCACGCGGCAGATAAGGAGTAGCAGGAGCCCTGCCAACGCTCGGCTCAGGCACTCGAGGTACCTACCCTGAATGGCTGGTCGGGGATGAACGGGAAGTAAGGGATCGCCGACTGTTCTTCACCCCTTTCTCCTGAGATACAAGAGTTTCTGAGGAGTTGCCTGTCAGTGAAGACAGCTTTGAGTTCAATTGCCACATCGGCAGGGGGATCTTCCGAGTCACCACAGGTCAGGCTGATAGCAAAGCTAAAAAGAAAACAGTGTCGCTTAGCTGGAGTTAGAGGTAACATTTTAACTTGACCCAGTTCCTCCTCTTGTGGGTTCATCTGCTTTTAATGGGCCGCTACTGTTTACACAGTGTTTAAACAGGGAGAGGATTACACTCAAACCAATAGATTCTGTTACCTAAAGCAGGCTCTGGTGCAAACTTCCGAACTGAAAATAACTGCAATTGAAGACTTCAAATGCCCCGGGCCACCCGGGCCTTAATCCATTTCAGAATTCTCAAAAACAGTGCCAGAAGTTGACAAGGGAGATATCTTGTCAAGTTTGGTTCTTATTTATTCACATAGTTTTTTACAATGTTTCAAAACCATAAAAAAAAGAAAAAGAAATCCTTTGGCCTCTTCAAGGGTCAAAGAGAAACTGTAGGCCTATTTTTGTCATGGCTGATATAAATAGCTATCTAGAGAGATGATGGCTAGGATTCATACACATTCTTTTCATGGGAACATGGTACTTTCTTGGCGCTCCTAAGTAGTAACACTGTCCACAAGGAGAGGAAGAGAAGGCAGCCACAGCTTAGCAACTGCAGGGCTCTAGGCTTACCTTTCTGGGTTGAGGTCTACGATGCCCATCACTAATACCTTCTTCCCTGGTCGCATGCCACCTTTAATGTGCCCACAAAATGGAACTATCTGCAGAGGAAGAGGGGAGAAACAGAAAGTTTACAGGCTGTTTGTTAGAGAAGAGCCAGGCCCTCGGCCTTGACCCATCAGAAAACAAGGAAAATGCATCAGAAAGAATGATAAAGGCAGGGACATTGAGCACATTGATTTACCAGTCGTGGGAAGTACACGTCCGCTTGAACTGGAGAACCCAGGGAGTTGTTTAAGTGCCCATCATCAAGTTTCTAAAAATAGAAGCACACAGATTGGCTTTCCACAGACCCTTGTTTATTAGGGAGTGAATGGCAGGGAGGAATCAACACAAATCTGTGGGAATCCAGCAGCCCTCCACAGACACATAGGCAGTGTCTGCACATGATGCCTCTTTATAGCTCATTAAATAACCGCGAAACAAAACCCGGCCTTTCCACCCGATCTAAGCCTCTGCTGATCCCCAGACTCTTAGACCGGATCAAATTCAAGGTCGCGGCCCACCGGGAAGCAAAGCCCGTGTAGGTGGGCTGCAGGCCCCTCTCCAAGCACAAATGCTCTCGGAACCTCAGCCCCCAGGCCTGTCCTCTGGGACGCGGCTAGTGAGCAGCGACAGCGCGCCGCTTCTTCGGGAGCCCCGGGAGCGGGACTGTCCCCAAGGGAGGGGGGGATTCCCCGGCCGCCGGGGCCGCGGCCCCACACTAACCCACCA